ACAAGAAGTGTCGCTTGAGCGACCAGACACAATAAGCTGCACCACTCAAGCGCGAGAAGCTTCGCTCGAGCAAAGAATACCAATTCCCAAAAGTTTTACAGACAGAAGACCACCGCTCGAGCTTAAGTAGGGCCGCTCGAGCCAACACTGCTCGAACGAAGAACACCACCTCCTAGTAGTTTTGAAGACCTGCAAAAGAACTGAGAGTTCAGAAAGACTGCTCGAGCACAAGAAGTGTCACTGGAGCAAAGAAGCAAAATTTTGGGCAATAACTATTTGAAAAACAAGCTACCAATCTGTTCCAAACGCAACCAACACATCCCATAGGTTTGCCCAAAATTTCTCCAAATCACAATGTTGTTTATAAAGACAAATATCTAAGTTAAAAATCATAAGAAAGTGCGGAGAATCCCTGCCTGAAGCTTAGAAGATGATAGAAAGATTGAAGGAACTTTAACAATGCCCAAACTCAACTTCGTTCGGATCAAAAGGGAGCCAACGGTGTGCTCTACCTTTTTAACAAAAGGACATGGATGAAGAACTCAATGGATTTAGGTGTATTTTTAGAGAGAAGTAGAGTTTTAGAGAGAGGGTGTGTAGATCTGGGGTTTTGTAGAGTGTTAGAGAGAGAGAAATGAAAAAGTGACTCAAAAGTGGCCTTTTACGAACTAATATACGTGCAGATCGCTCAAGCACAAGAAGTGTCGCTTGAGTGACCAGACACAATAAGCTGCACCACTCAAGCGCAAGAAACTTCGCTCGAGCGAAGAATACCAATTCCCAAAAGTTTTACAGACAGAAGACCACCGCTCGAGCTTATGTAGGGCCGCTCGAGCCAACACCGATTGAGCGAAGAACACCACTTCCTAGTACTTTTGAAGACCTGCAAAAGAACTGAGAGTTCAGAAAGATCGCTCGAGCACAAGAAGTGTCACTGGAGCAAAGAAGCAAAATTTTAGGCAATAACAGTTTGAAAAACAAGCTACCAATCTGTTCCAAACACAACCAACACATCCCAATAGCCAAACTCAAAGAGAAATAAGGGGAAACAAGACATGAACAACTATATAAGACAATGAAACTTGGATCCAGAACATCAAATGGGTCGGGTCTAAACCACAATCGCTATATTTGTCATAGGATTAAAAAATTTATCAATTTGTTAGGTGCAATGGTCATTGGAATTTAATTCAAATAATAAAATTTACAACCAAACAATAGAATGTGAGTGTCATTAACTAATAATCCTAATCTTATCTTATAATCTGCTCAATCACATAAATTTGTTTGGACAGAGATTGTAACTAATAATCCTAATCTTATCCTATAATCTACTCAATCAAACAAATTTGTTTGGACAGAGATTGTAATTCATTAGACTGTCAATCCTAGGATACATAGTCCCTGAACTATTTGGTTGGAAATTATATCTATCCCATATTTGTTTTCTCATGGGATTAGATGTCTAACAAGGACTATTCTATTAAATCCAGTATTTGGTTGAAATATTATGAAGAAGAATAAATGTTCAAAAGACTATTTTACCATTTTCAATTGTTTATTGAGTAATAGTAATACTAAATCTATCTTTAATATTTTTTTTTGCTAGAAATTTTAAAAAATCAAATAAATAAAACATCAATAAAAATTAAATTAAATTATTTTATTTTTTAATTAAGACTTTTAGATTTTATTTTATTTTACTAAGTACTATGCATAATGAAACCAAACAATTTGTCTATGTGATTGTGAAACAAAAAACAAAAAACTTGAATCTTTATTCTACCATTTAAAAAAAAAAATTGAATTTTTATTGCACCATTTGGAAAATTTTGAACAATAAATAAATTAAGATACATGTAGCAAAAGTGTTTTTTATAAGTTAATCTCATGGGATTATTATTCTATCATTTGTATTCCACCCCCGTAGGACAAAACAATAACCCATATAATGAACATGGAGTTTGGTTAAACTCCTAATTCAGCCCACCAATTTCTAACCAACTAGCGGACTCCTCCCTAAAATGGACATAGAGTTTTATCCGATGAATCCAACCAAACAAACAAGGCCATATGTAAAACTATTCTATGTAATTTGGTTTTATGGACATGTTTAGTGTAATTTGAGAAAGTTGTGAATATATAATTAGAAGTAGAAGTTAAAACTATCGCTTTGCCTATTTGTCAATATATAATATTTTTTTATAAATTTTTTAAAGATATTTATATCATAAGTTTTAAGGAAAAATTTTATACCAAACACTTTAATATAGTTTATCAAAATAAAATAAAAAAGTTATTTGCAACTCGTAAGTCATACGAATTTACCAAACTCCAATATATCCCTAGACATTTTTTTTTAATTGTTTTTTTTTAGCAGCAAATAAAAGAAAATTTTTATTAAGATAGAAAGATTACCAAAATGGCTTGGGAAAAAAATTGCATCAATGTCGACACTAAACATCCCAACTAAGTTTGTACCCAAAGCTTGACTAATCATATGCATCCCCAAACCCCCCAATGGAGTTAGAGAGATTCCAACTCTGGCAAATTTTGACTCTCCAAAAAAAAGCTTACAAAGCACTTCACACCCTTTCGCCTATACACTTTCTAATCAGAGAAATATTGAACAGGAAATCATTTATAGAGTAATGGAAGTTTTTGAATGAAGCTTTTAGCCAAATAGCTAATTTGATGATTATTGATTCCTACAAATCCCCCATCTTTGGTTGAACACCATTGAACAAGCAATCATTTCTACACTTCCATATGGACCAAAGAGCAACAAGGGGAATGGCTTTCCAGATTCTCCTCTCAAATTTCTTGAAACAGATGCCATCCCACAACTACAACAAGTATTCAACTGATCTAGGCACAACTTAATAAACTCCCCACCACTGCAGTAGACCGGTCCACACCTTCCAAACCATGGGACACAAAATAAGCACATGTGATTAGAGTCTAATATTTGACCCGCTAAAATACATTTTATTAGTCTATTTATTTTTACTATTTTATACTTTTATATATTTTTGTATGTTTTTATATATTTTGAATGGCTAACTGGCTATATAGCAATTCTGATTTTGACCCGACTCTTGTGGTATTTTGGACTCGGGTTTAATGCTTTCATGTTGTTGTTTACCTCTTTCTTTCCTTGTGTCTCTTTGAAATTGGCTTTTGGGTTGTTGTGGCTATGTTTGGGCAGGTTGGTCGCTTGTTTTTAAAACCTTGTGTTGTCCAGAATTTTGGTCCTCGGCTCGAGCGGCACTTCCTGCGCTCGAGCGGGCTTTACAAACTATCAGAAAGAAAAGAAAGAAAAAGTGGGAAAATTTAAGGTGTATTTATTTTATAGTGGTTGTTATAGGAGTATGGGTAGCCAATTTCTATATTTTAGGGTTAAGATGAAACTCTGATCAAGTAATTGGGCTAGTTTGTATTTAGTTTTGTAGAGTCTTAATTGATTTGGGTACTATTGTATAACTCAGATTTTTATGCAAATAATGGATTAGCAAATAATGGTTTATCAAATTATGTGTTCATTTGGTCGTGAATACATGTTATACAAATGATTTTCATGCTTGTGTAATAAAATTGTTAGATGAGTCATATCTAGTAAGACGGGTCCTGCATCAACCTTAATTTAGTGGTGACGGTCCGTGCTAAGTGAAGATGATTCGTGACTTTTTGATTTTAAAACACAAACCTTCTTAAGTTATGTGTCCTGACCAAGATACATCGTAGTACCCTTCTCAATAATTTTCTACAATCCAAATACAACCACCCCTAATTGCAAGGTTAGTAGTGGATTCTAGATTCTAAGTTTCCTTTTTTTCACCTTCCATTTTAAAGCCTAGATTTTTGAATTAAAACCAACTTGCCCTAGTCTCTGTGATTTGACACCTGTTCTCAACTGCTATTCCATGTAGTTGTAGTTGCAACCTGTATTTTTTTTTTCTTTCTTTTTTTCCATTTTTTTTGGTGTGCAAACGACCTACCAAATTTTGGCACAGTTGTCGGGGACTTCTGGTAAGTTTTTTTATTCAAAACTTTCAATTAGTTTTTGTTTTTACTGATTTTTCTTTTTGTGCAGATTGTCTTGTGCAAGTGAACTAAAAAAAACATATAACCAAATATAACCAAAAAAACAATAAATTTTACACTATAACACAAAGGAATTACCCATGTTGGACACTGGTGGATGACCTTTGCTGGACATATAACTTTGAGGATAAAAAAAATAATAAAAAAAAAAGTTGACTTTTGACTAATAACTACTGACTACTAACATTTATTTTATTGCAATTTACTTTATCGCATTTTCTTTATCGCAATTTACTTACGCAATTTAATTTTACTTAAAGGGTAGTCTACGACTCCCTACATGTTGTACATTTATTTTATTTTGTAAATTGTTGTTTTATTTGTACTAATTTACATGTGTTTTTGTGTGTGTGTGTGTGTGTGTGTGTGTTGTGTATATATATATATATATATATATAAGAGTGAGTGTGTTGTATGCATAGTCGTCGTTCTTGTCTTCCAAAATTATTCTATGACCCTAACCTAAAGCAGATCCTTAGAAATCTTCAGAAATCTAAACCAACTTTAGTAATGGCTGAAGCAGTAGTAGACCAACCTAGGTCATTGAAGGCACATTTTACACCCACCATTGATGTTTCATCATCATGCATCCAATTGTCAATTATCGAATTGACCCATTATGAGATTAAGCCTAGTACCATTCAAATGCTTTCATCTTTTTACGAGCTTAATAATGAGGATCCCTGTAAACATCTCAGTGAGTTTTTAGAGACTTGTTCTACAGTGAAACTCCAAAATTTTACCGATGAGACCCTTAGGTTGAGACTGTTTCCCTTTTCACTTAAGGATTAAGCCAAACACTGGCTAAATTCCTTACCCCCAAACTCTATCACGACCTGGGACCAAATGAGGCAAAAGTTTTTAGACAAATATATTCTTCATAGGAAAAACCAATCAGATAAGACATGATATCACCAATTTTTCTCAAATTGATGGTGAGAATTTGCATGAGACTTAGGAAAGGTTTCAAGATTTACTCTATCAGTGTCCCCACCATTAGGTACCCCAGTGGCAGCTCGTTCGTAGTTTCTATTCTGGTTTGACCGACTCATTCAAACAAATGGTCAACTCGGCCTGTGGAGGGACGTTTATGACTAAGAGTGATGTAGGGGCATGGGAGTTGTTTGAAAATCTGAGTGAAAATTCCCTATATCATGAGTGTGCCTCTCGACATGAGGAGCAACCAACCCTTAGTGGTACAAAGCGATGTGGCCTATATGAGGTAGGTCATAGTGCATATATTGCTCAGAAAGTCAAACTGTTGCCTAGAAAAGTGGATCAACTGTTAGCAGTAGGACACATTTCTTCACAACCAGCACAACCGCCATACCAAGAGGCTTGCACAATCTGTTTCTATCTTATCCACTGTGCAACTGATTGCCCATCAGCACCTTAGTGTCCCGAGTCAATTCCAGAGCATGTCAATGCGGTCGAAGGTTTTTCTAAACCGGGTAATGATCCATTTTCAAACACCTATAACCTGTACTGGAGAAACCATCCAAACTTTTCTTGGTGCTCACAACCACAAGGAAATTCCTATGTTCCACCTCTACCAAGGCAAAAATTTCAAAATTCTACCAATCCACCTCTTTACCATCTTGTGTCTCAGCAGTCATACTAATATCCTCAGAAAAATTCACCTTTTGAAGAAACAGTATTACAACTTGTGTAGGGTACAAAGCAACTTGCCCATTCCCACTTCCAATCCATTGCAAAACTTGAGACCCAAATTGGCTAACTGGCTATATAGCGATTTCGATTTTGACCCGACTCTTGTGGTATTCCGAACTCGGGTTTAATGCTTTCATGTTGTTGTTTACCTTTTTCTTCCCTTGTGTCTCTTTGAAATTGGCTTTTGGGTTGTTGTGGTTGTGTTTGGGCATGTTGGTCGCTTGTTTTTAAAACCTTGTGTTGTCCAGAATTTTGGTCCTCGGCTCGAGCAGCACTTCCTGCGCTCGAGCGGGCTTTACAAACTATCAATACTTTTGCAAGTCTGCAAAACTACTGGGAGAGTGATTTCTATGCTTGAGTGATGTTTCCTACGCTCAAGCAGGTGAGTGCTCGAGTGGCCTTTCTTGCACTCGAGCGTTGGTCTGTTGTCTGCAAAACTACTGGATGTGTGTTTTCTATGCTCGAGTGTCACATCTTGCGCTTGAGCGGTGAGCGCCTTGTTCATTGTGTCTTGGCGCTCGAGCGGAACAACTTATTGTGTCTGATGCTCGAGCGTCAACTCTTGCGCTCGAGTAGACTATGCGTATATCATATAGCGAAAATGACTTTTTACATTACTTTTTCAGATCTCTTCTCCCTAAAACCGAATGTTGAGACTCTCTCTCTCTCTAAAACACACACACACTCTCTCTCTCTCTACATTTTCACCTAGTTTTAGTAATTTGTTCACCCTAATCCCTTTGTTAAAAAGTAGACCATCACAAGATCTCCATTTTGATTCGAATAAAGTTGGGTTTGGGCATCTTTGAAGTTTTACTCTTACTTGGCTCGTCTTCTCTCTTTGAGATAAGGATTTTCTACACTTTCATATGGTTTTTAGCTTAGTTATTTGTCGTTGTGTAACAATGGTGGGATTTGGGAGTGGTTTGAACAAACCTAAGATTTGGGTGTGAAATAAAAAAAAGGGGTTTCTAAATGAGTGTGAAATAAATGATTATGGGGTTCAAATATGAGGTTCTATGGTGGCAAAATAGTTAATTTTGGCACTTGGGTTGATATATGGAAAAAAGGGAGTTTTGCCCTAAATGGGTCAAATTGTTATTTTCTACAAATAACCAAAATTGATAATGATAATGTGCAAATGGATGATTGTTGACGTAAATGGCAGAGTTGGACACGTGTTGTCTCTCACCTATGGAAATTTGAATAGTTTATTTGTTGAGGAGATTGTATATCTATTTAGAAATATCTGTATTGGGCTATCAGTGGAGGATAGATATGATTATTGCAAAAATTGCATGAGGATTAGGTAAATTGAAACTAATCTATTGTTGGTTGTCATTGAATATGACTATGTTTTAAATACATTGTATATGTATGATGTTTGGGAGGAGAAAGGGACTCCATTGTTTGGGAGGAGATAGGAGATGGACTCCATTGAAATTTGTGGGGGCTGAATATCGGGAGACGTAAAGAGGCCGAATAGTTGGACCTGGAGAGTCAAAGTTTATATATCGCATTCGGCCCCGTCTTATACACAAATCCAGAGGTACCCTATTCAGCCAAATAACCAGTTGAGTAAGGGGCCGAGTGAAGAACGGCTTACAACAAAAGGAGCCGAGTAAATAATTATACGACGAATTGAAGGTGGGCCCAGCCCTAAAGCCCAAGAAAGAAAAGATATAAATAGAAGAATATCATCCAGAGAGAGGTATGTGAGAATTATTGTGCTTAACTTAAAATACAAGTAACTAAGAGAGTATACACTGACTTAACCATCGGAGTGCTAATTCTGGCACCCCCAACCGGATTGTTTGTTTCCTTTCAGGTTGTTAGCTAAGGATCTTGAGCGTTCCAGTGGATTAAAAGAGTATTTCCAAACCACTTCCCCACAATTGGCGCCGTCTGTGGGAATACTCAACTACATCCATGGCGGGCGTAACGGAAGACCCTCCGATAGTCACTGACGAAACCACACAGAGAGACGACCTCACCCCAACAAACATGCTTGGACCGGAGACTATCGCCGCAAGACGTGCCTTGAACTTCGACTCACTTGCCCAGAACTCACCCTCGACTTCAGCACATGAGATAATGCAAGCAATCATGGAACAGGCGAAGCAAAACAAACAAAGACTGGAAAACATGATTGTTGAGAACAAGCAACTTCGTTAGGACTTGGCCTTGGAAGTAGCAAAATCCAATCAAGCTACACGCCAAGATCCGGGACGACCTCTGAGAGCAGGTGGTCGAAGACCTCGAGTTCGGAGGCAATATAGTGACAGCAACTCTAACTCATTACTCCCAGAGCCCAAAAAAAAGGGATGACTCGAAGCTACTAGTTCCTTTCAAGAGAGTCCACGTCTAAGGCATAAACGAAGACAAAATGGTTCGGACGAAGAAGACCAGCATGATCCTTTCGTGCAACGGATCACAAAAGCAGTACTACCCAAGAAGTTCAAAGCCCCGCCATTCACCCTGTACGAGGGAAAATCAGACCCCACTGATCATATCCGTCATTATAAGCAAGCCATGACGCTACATGCAGACGACAAGGCTCTTATGTGTAGAATATTTTCGAGCAATTTGGGGCCATTGGCCGTAAGATGGTATTATAAGTTGGAGCCGGCGTCGATTAAGAGTTTCCATCAACTACAGAAATCCTTCAGGGCAAGATTCAACACCAACGAGGTCCAGCCGAAGCAAGCAGACTCTCTCTGGGCAATGCAAATTCAGCCGGGAGAAACCTTAAGAGCATATTCGGCGCCCTATTGGGAATGCTTTAATCTTGTCAATGATGCTTGCGACGACTCCATGGCCATTACCGCCTTTAAAATGGGTTTGCATCCTGATAGTGCTCTCCGCAGTTCCTTGACTAGAAGACCCCCTGTAGACACCCCATTTTTGACTGTCCTCAAGACTTGGACGTCATCGTTTGAACACTCGATGATCATCTATGTTCGTGTCGTCTTAAGTTCTCGGAGGTTTCGGTCACGCGCCTTGCCTCAAGACCTCTTGACTTGTTTGTTTTGTGCTTGGTTGTACACTAAACACTTGTGTTTTTGCTTCTGAGGGCAGTGAATGTCTTGTTGGCCATTCCCACACCTCACCGGCCTTAACTTGATGCCACCGGCCATGTTTTCTTGCTACCGGCCAAATATTTTGGTCGGTCGGCAATGTTTTTGGTCGGCCGGCCATTTTTGTTGGTCAATCGGCCATATTTTCCCGCCGACCCCTTTCCATTTGCTTTTGGCAGATATTTTATGCTAGCGGTGATACATGTATGGAGGGATTTGCTCTCTTATGTTAGCTTCTCCAAGAAGCTTAGGGATTGAATTCCTATAAAAGGAGGGCCTCCCCTCCCTTTCGAGAGGTTGAACAACCTGTGATATATGATATATATCACTCTCTCTCTATATCTCCCTCTCTTTCTATAGTTGTGTGTGCATTAGTGTTCTAAAGGGGTTTTTGTTCTTAGTTTTGCACTAAGACACCTAGTGTTACACTATACTTTGGCTGCTGAGGTTTTAAGGGGTTGATTTCAGAGTTTTGAGTTGGTTTTTGATCAAAAAGAGGTGCTGGAGTTGGTGTTCTTGAAGTGTTCTTCAAGGGTGAGAACTTACCTTTTTATTCCCCATTTTTGCTTAAGGTTTTAGACCTATTTTCATTTTGTTTCAAGCTTAGTGTATAACTGATAAAAGTTCTGTATTTTCATGCTTAAGATGTTTCATTGAGGTCACTTTTGTGTTGTGGTCGTCCACCCCCTCTTAGGCCTTGTTTGGTGTCTTTTTGTGCCTTCCTCTTTGGGCTTTGTTAGAGCATTTTCAATCAATATCATTCGTCGAGCTATCATTCGATTTTATCAATTCAATCAGTCGATAACTATCTAAGTCATACATGGTACATCCGATAGCAACAATACACATGGTCTTAAAAGACCGAACGATCAATTGATAGCCATCATATAATAACAATAGTTCCCAGATTTGGAACCGACAGAGATCTCTATAACGGTAACAATATCAATAGCAATAACAATCACAATACGCTATGGATGCCACGAATACAATTCAAAATAGGATCATCATTCAATCGATAAAAAGTATCATTTCAAGAAGCAATATGATTTATCAATCTGAAAATAAATACGATTGAACATATCTTTACAACGTTGTTACTCACAGATAATAGGGCAGTAAACAGGCTATTCAGCTTCCTTGAGGTGCGAAACCTACACAGTTACAGAACGAACGCATGCTAAATTACACACCCGAAATTGATAACTTAGTCCTTTCTACTTGTTTTGGTGTGGTTCTATTTCATTATCCTCA